TAGGCTCTTCCCTTTCATCACTTTAAGTATATCATGCCACTCCCTTCTGGCTTGTAGAGTTTCTGCTGAGAAATCAGCTGTTCCCTTGTATGTTATTTGTCGTTTTTCCCTTTCAATAATTTTTGTCTTTAATTTTTGCCAATTTGATTACTATGTGTCTCGGCGTGTTTCTCCTTGGGTTTATCCTGTATGGGACTCTCTGCGCTTCCTGGACTTGGGTGGCTATTTCCTTTTCCACGTTAGGGAAGTTTTTGACTATAATTTCTTCAAATATTTTCTTGGGTCCTTTCTCTCTCTCTTCTTGTTCTGGGACCCCTATAACGTGAATGTTGTTGCGTTTAATGTTGTCCCAGAGGTCTCTTAGGCTGTCTTCCTTTCTTTTCGTTCTTTTTTCTTTATCCTGTTCCGCAGCAGTGAATTCCACCATTCTGTCTTCCAGTTCACTTATCCGTTCTTCTGCCTCAGTTATTCTGCTATTGATTCCTTCGAGTGTATTTTTCATTTCAGTTATTGTATTGTTCATCTCTGTTTGTTTGTTCTTTAATTCTTGTAGATCTTTGTTAAACATTTCTTGCATCGTCTCGATCTTTGCCTCCATTCTTTTCCTGAGGTCCTGGAGAATCTTCCCTATCGTTCTGAATTCTCTTTCTGGAAGATTGCTCATCTCCATTTCATTTAGTTGTTTTTCGGGGGTTTTATCTTGTTCCTTCATCTGGTACGTAGCCCTTTGCCTTTTCATCTTGTATATCTTTCTGTGAATGTGGTTTTTGTTCCACAGGCTGCAGGATTGTAGTACTTCTTGCTTCTGCTTTCTGCCCTCTCTACAATTGTTTTTAATTAATAATATTTAAATCTTCTTTATGTACCTCAACTGTAAATGAAATAAGGTTTTTTCAATGCAAAAAAACCCTTAAATGGAAGTGTACCTTTTTGCTATCCAAGCTTGGCTCACAGAAATAAGGAAAAGCTAGGGATAAAATTAATGGCCACGGATTTACACCAGTATGCAGTATATTGGTTTCTGGTAAAAAGAGCATGAACTTTGAAATCAAACAGAATGCAAATCATGTGTCCACCTCTTTGGCTTTATGTGGTTTTAGGTACATCTTTTAACTTTACCGAGTCTCTGTTTCTTCAATATTTAATGAGGTTAATCAATCACCTTGTTTGAGAAATACTTCACAATATTTTTAAAATATGCAACAGGCACTCAATATATGATAATTACTAATTATTACTAATTATAAGTTTGAGACTGAAATGTATAGGGATCAGAAACCTCAGGAAAAACCTGAGTGAACCTCAGGAAAAAAAACAATAACCATGGAATTTTCCAACTCTTAAGGGCTAGTACCTCACTCATGTCGATTTTCCAAGAGTTTAGTTTCTTATAATTTAAAATTTCTGGAGTTAGGGTAGAATGGGCTTCTTATGACTTTCTAGAAAACTAATTTGATGCATCTTTTTTATTTTAAGATCCAGATGTGGCCATTTTTCATTCCTACGGATACTTGACTGACATTTAAAAAATTAGCATTGTCCTACTTCAAAACATTTAAATTCAAGAGGACTGAGTTGTGGCCGTAAAAGCTGGTGCACAAGAGTCAGAAGACCTGGAGGGAGAAGTAGATGCCAGTGAACAGACCCACATTGTTCATGCTTTGACTTTTCTAGCAGGGACACTGATGCAGAGCTTTCCTCCCAGGATACTTCCAGGAGTGTCCATGCATAACACGGATAGTAAATTATACTATAGTCCTCTAGAGAGGAAACGTGGCTGCAGAGTCAGACAGACCCATGTTCAAATCTCAACTCACTTATTTACTAACTGGGTTACTCTGGGCAAGTTACTTAACGTTTCTGAGTCTCATTTTCCTCTTTGCAAAAGTTACTAATGATAATATCCACCACAGAAGATGGTTCTGGTAAATGAGATAATATACACAAAAAGTACCTAGACTGTGTGCCCTCCACATGTACTAATTTCATTCCCCTCTGGGAGCTCTACCTAGCATAATGGTGGTGAACAAGATAGCCAACCAGATTCCAGTTTAATAAAAATTAGACTTTAAAAAAAATTAGACTTTAGGTAGCTGCAGAGCAGCATGAAAGGCAAAAAATCGCCGTTAGAAGCCAAGACCTGACCTTGGCCATCTCAGGACATAGGAGGAAATCAGCAATAGGGCCACTGAAGCCTTATTCCACCTCTTCATTTTATTTGAGGTCCACTAGAATGCTTTCCATGGGAGGTACTGGGTCACCTGGAAGATGAGCAGGCACTTGGATATTGTTACACTTTAATGTATAAAGCCTCAGAATGATCACTGAGGGAAACCAGCCTCAGAGTGGTTTCTACTTGTAGTCAGTTGAATAGTATCCCCCTCAAATTTCATTTCAGTATCTGAAATTTCATATCAGAATGTATCCTTTATCTGGAAATAGGGTCTCTGCGGATATAATTAGTAAAGGTGAGGTCATACTGGATAAGGGTGAGCCATAAATCCTAAAGCCAATGACTGGGGTCCTTAAGAGAATAGAGAAGACTCACAGGGAAAAGACAGCCATGTGAAAACAGAAGTAGAGGATGCAATGATGTAGCTACCAGTCAAGGAATGCCAGGGTTTGATGGGAACCACAAGAAAGAGGCCAGGAAAGATTCTTCCCTTAGAACTTTCAGAGAGAGAATAACCTTGCTGACACTTTTTTTTTGTTCTTTTAAGGTTTTATTCTCTCCATTTTCCCCTTTACTTATACTACAGACAGCATTTAAAATCTTGTTGCCATAGTTACTGATATTAAAGCACATACAAGAGAATCAAACTTGAAACTCTAAGAAAATATACTTGAAATAAAAGAAAAATCACTACAGTGAAACGTACTTATATATAATAATTTCCCACCTGACATTGTATTATTTTTCTTCCCTTAGAAGATATAATGATTGAACTATATAGTGCCCCCAAAAGGTTGCAGGATTTAAAGAACTTTAAAATGTTTCCTTAAAAGAGAACCTTGCTGGCACTTTGATTTCAGACTTTCAGCTTTCACAACTGTGAGAAAACAAATTTCTGTTTTAAGTCACCAAGTTTGTGGTAATTGGTTATGGCTTACCTAGGAAAGAATGCACCACTCTACATCATACTGAGATTGTGGGAGCTTTTACAGGATTTTCCCTCCAGCAGAGACTACTTTCCTTTCTCTTCTTCAGTTCCTTTTTGTTTCACCACAGTTTCCTCTCTGACACACCCCTCATGACCTTCAGGTCTCCAGTTTCTGCTACTACTGTTATAGTTTCCACTTCCTGGTACGGTCCTTGGCTTCCCTAAACTCAGGGTGCCTTGAGCTCATTGCAGCAAAACCAGCACACAGAGGGGCTGAGAGAATGCCCAGCCACAGGTCCCTCCACCCACCTCCAACCAGCTGTAACTAAAAATCGTGGCACTTGACCACCCAGATTCTCCACCTGCAAACACAGATGAACACCAACCTTGCTACCACACAGGTTAATGAGTTTAAAATATGATAGATGAGGAAGGGCCTTGTAAAAGTGAAGGCTCAATTAAACTTGTAAGAAGCTTTTCCATTATTATTAAAAACTTCGCTAAAGACAAAGGACCTGGCAAGTAGAAACTGCGCATGTCTGATCTCAGAGTCATCTTGTTACCCTTCTTTCCTCCAACTCTTCACCTCATGCTTTTACTTCATTGACTTGATTCAAAGGAGGAAGGGCCATGATTTGTCTTAATTTCTGGGAAGTGAAGCTTTTAATATAGTTACTGACAACCCCAGAACTGGTGCCAGGCCTCCTACTATAATCTGAGCAAGATGAAGTATCAGAGGGATATGAAATGCTGGCTATATTTCTTAACTTCCTGCCTTTTCATGAGAATAAACTGTCAGGAACAAAGGTACTTAAATTCAATTTATTGGCAAACATCTTCAGAGATTTCTGGCATCATGGAACTTTTATATTTAAAAAAAATAAAGAAGCTTGGCAAAGGAGGAAATTTGAATATACCTAGATTTTTAAAGTAAAAATTCCTAAATTTAAACTGGTTTGTAGCCAATGGTCAATCTTAATTTAAGTGGCAGTGAAGGAAGTGAAATAATTAAAACCAGCCAAGTAAGTAGCAATTAGACTAATAATTTTCCCTCTAATCATTAAACTCCTTATTTATGTCATTTTTTACATGCATTATTTAGGGCATTACATCAATTTTAAAACACACTGTTTTCATATTTTAACATCTATGAAATCAGGATGTGTCTAGTAGTCAATGTTGCCTACTATAATGCCTAGTTATAATTGACAGGGATGACAAGGATGGTTGTTTTATTTTCCTATTGGAGTGGTACTTAAAATGTGGGTGCATTTTATGATTGAGGAGTCTTACATTCTATGAAATACCGTATTTGACTTAATGAAGATGTAAACTGTGAGACCTGTAGTTAAATTTCTTTTTCTTCTTGTAATGTTCTTATCAAATCTCAATGTAACAAGTGTGATACATTTTCTGCCTCGGAAATACATACTTGTACTGTTTGCTATAGAATTCAGTCATTTGTTGTTTTTGAGAACAAATGCATCATTAGAAAGAGAGGATATAATTTTAAGACTGAAGAATAGAAAGAAACTAGATTTAGAAATAAAAGTACAATACAGTGTCAGGAAAAATTAAACAATTTCATTTTCATTTCCATAATTACATCCTTGCAAAATGTCTTCACAGACCCAGTGAGTTTTCTGTTAGAGTCTGAGCTAATGATATGGCAAGAGTCCTTGTTTCTAGCCCCCAACCTGCTGCTGGATAACACCTATCCGTTCTGAGCTTGCCTTAAATATTAAAGAAACTGATTGAGCTGAATGGTTTCTGAGATTTTTTTTCCATTTCTAGGAACCTCTGATAATTCTCATTTTTAGATTTATTCACACAAACATTTTAATACATCTCCTACTCAGGTCCACAAAGCATAACTGCTTCTGGGTTCTCTGGTCTTACCAATGTGGTTGATGGCTGGCTGAAGGTTTTCATTTACAGAGACACTAGAAAGAAACAAAAGTATTGTGAGTCAAACAATGTGTGTAAATAAATTATGCTAAATTGCTCCTTAATTAAACAGAGTTATGCAGTTAGGCTTTATTATAAGAGGGCTTTTGGAAACCAATGAACAGCTGGGGGCTGAAATAATATTATTCTATTTTGTACTTTTTTTTTTTTTTTGCGGTACGCAGGTCTCTCACCGCTGCGGCCCCTCCCGCTGCGGAGCACAGGCTCCGGACGCGCAGGCCCAGCGGCCATGGCTCACGGGCCCAGCCGCTCCGTGGCATGTGGGATTCTCTCCGACCGGGGCACGAACCCGCGTCCCCCGCATCGGCAGGCGGACTCCCAACCACTGTGCCACCAGGGAAGCCCCTCTATTTTGTACTTTTAAACCGATATATAACTTTTGCAATAACAGAGTAATCCTTCAAACACCCAGTTAAAATGAAAATCCCTACATGTCACACCTGTCCCAGAAGGATTACCCATACTGTTTTCATGGATCTTTGCAAGAAGGATGTGTAAGGGCATAAAGAAACACTTACAAGAATCCAGAGTCCAGCCAGTGCTGAATACTTTCTTGTTTGGAATCTTCTACTAAAGAGAAACAGACCAGTTAGTCAAAGCATAACCAGCTAAAGTGATCCCACCCTGTTATTCAGCCACCACCTAATAGGTCTGGTTCCTAGTATTTAGTCACATGTTCCTATAAGCATATTCATTTTTTCCCCAAGGCAAAACTTCCGGTTTTCCATAATCAGCTTTTCCTGAAAATGAAGTGTAAACTTGCCAAAGGACTAACTTAAAAAAAAGAGAGAAAGAAAAAAATGTGAAAAGGAAAAAAAAAAATCACCAAAGAGCAAGAGATGTTAGAATAATTTTTAAATTACCTGGTGTGAATACAAAGAGTGAAAAAGCATAGGAGACTTTTGCCTTTCTCTAGTTGGATATAAATCACATGGAGCCTCTCCTTACTGAATCACATTTACATAAGGCAGCTAGCCAGTGATGTTCATTTGCAAGGAGTTCTCTGCCAGGTTAGAAACCAAATTTGCATTCATTCCAGGGGCAAATTGCACTACAGTCCCAGAATTGCCAAAGGCACCCTGTGTTAAAAAGGCATCCAGTCTTTTAAGGTGGATCTTTACCACTGGCTCAACAAATAGTCAACAGGCAAAAAGGAAAGGATGTAAAAGTAGTTTTCCTGTAAATATTTGTTTCCATTCTGGTTGGTTACAGGTTACTCTGGGCTTATTTTCTTTGACTTTATCCTATGAAGCAGTGAGGTACCTGAATTATCCTCTCACAAGGTGTCTGGTGAACCAAAAAGGCCAAGTGGACATGGGAGGTGCTTAGTTTTCAACTGAGATACTGTGAAGGGATAGAATAAATTGGTGGTGGGCAAAGAAGAAAAGCCATCAGTTACATCATAAAAAATCAAACAAACAAAAAATCACAGTGAAGGGAGAAGTGTTTTCTTACTTATTACTCTTTAAACAATTAAAATTATTATCAACACCTTGTGCAAGACCCAGCAAATAAAAGCCTTTCAATAAAATGTTTGATGTCCTACGAAGCTTCATGTCTCTGGCATGGACTCCACGTAGCTTTATGATCCTGGGGACTTAGGATGAGGGGATCTTGGAGTGGAAAGGAAGCAGAGTTCATTCGTTAGTTGGTCTGTTTCCATCAAGAAGGTCTGTGTCTTAGGTGTCTGTAGGGGAAGTCAGATGTGCCCATTTCACAGAAGTTTCTGGTATCATGCCAGGAATACTGGTATCTTCAAAGTCAAGTCTTTGTTCCAAAATCATTTGCCCCCAGCCCAAAACCCCCATATCCCTCACCACTCACAGTAGGTTGGATTCAAATAGCCCTGAGGGCCCGTTCTCACCCAGCATGGGGGCGGTGAGACTGTGGCTCTCCTCCTCAGAGCCAGGGGGCAGCTGCTCATCCAGGGGAGCCCATGTCCTCTTGGTGGACCTCAGGATGTCTCTCCTGCTCTTTTCCTGGTCTCCTTGAGACTTCTCCGCCATCTTTAAGAGAGTAATTCAACAAGCTAATTAAAAACACACACACAAACAGATTAGATACAAAGAGCTCAGCTTTCAGGCTTGGCTCAGTGAGAGGGAGAGGACGACAGGATTCACAATTCAATGAGTGGACCCAGCTTTCCAATTTTTGGGACCCTGGCTCACCTACCCAAGCAAGGTCTCTGTCTCAATGAGATAACTGTTTCTTTCTCAATGGAGAGGCAGCTGGAGACTAAGGACTAATGTGGTCTCACCCTTCACCAGGCCACATCCACACTCTGGAGGATTCAATCTGGTGGTCTGGGATGTGGATGGCAAGCAAAGAAACTGGACTGGAGGACCTACCCAGCCAAGGAGAAAGTTTAAAAGCATTGATTAACATAATATAAGTATCCTTCAAATTCATCCAACAGTTACATCTATAACAATATGTTTAGAGTCCCAAAATGTAAAAAATAAGGGCTTTGGCTGAGTCTCATCTCTGCAATTTATTGTGTGGCCTTGAATAAATTATATAACCTCTCTGCATTCCCTTATTTTTAATTGGGGATCAATTGCACTGAATTTTAATAACTGTTAACCTCAGCAGAATACTTATTATGTGCTAGATTCTATAATCCGTATTTAATTTAATTGTCAATGAAGGAAGTAATCTAATTGCTTTTTAAAATGAATTTATTTATTTATTTATTTTTGGCTGCATTGGGTCTTTGCTGCTGTGCGCAGGCTTTCTCTAGTTGCCGCGAGCAGGGGCTACTCTTCGTTGCGGTGCGCGGGCTTCTCATTGTGGTGGCTTCTCTTGTTGTGGAGCACGGGCTCTAGGTGTGCAGACTTCAGTAGTTGCGGCGCGTGGGCTCAGTAGTTGTGGCTCGCGGACCCTAGAGCACAGGCTCAGTAGTTGTGGCGCACGGGCTTAGTTGTGCTGCAGCATGTGGGATCTTCCCGGACCAGTGCTCAAACCCGTGTCCCCTGCATTGGCAGGCGGATTCTTAACCACTGCACCACCAGGGAAGTCCGGAAGTAATCTAATTGTCACAATTTTGTAGTAAATCTAAGAGCAGTGGGGTTAAATTGCTTACCCAAAGTCACACAACAACCAGGATTCAAACCCAGGCTCTGGACTCTAAGCATGTTCCCATGACTATTAAGCTGCACTACCTGCCCTGTAAGATGGTTGGGACAATTGGGATGTTAATAAATACGTTATTTACATGGCACAAGAAATACAGGCTGTCCCCATCATCTCATTTGACATTTATTAATATAGCTGTGAGGCTCACAGAGTAGGAAAGGAGACAGAAGTTTAGAGAAGCTGTGTAAATTGTGTAAACTTCCCAGACTCTCAGCACATAGAGAACAAAGGCCTCCTTCTTACTAGTTGATGTGTCAGTATTTGATTGAATTCTCAGCATAGAGTAGGTGCTAAATAAATATGTACAAAACGAAAGTAGCAAAGCTAGAGTTCAAAACCACTAAACCGTGACTGAATTCCTTCCATGGCATCTACTTGAAACTGCATTAGTTTATTCTTCAAGTTTAGAGAAATGACCTACTTCAGCAGCATGTCTTGCATCCCTAAACTTATGGAAAATCACTGATCGCATGACATGTAGACAATCATTTCTAATCAGCATTTTAACAAGTCAAGTTGTTCAGATTTATTATAAACATTTGAATATTTTCATTTAATTACAGATGAGCATTCCAGGTGCAATTGTCAACAAGGGTCTTCCTATATGATTTATATATTAAAATTCTGTCATTCAGTTGAAGTATAAATATACAATTACTGTTGCAATAATAAATGACTGCAAAAATTAATTGTAATGACTGTTAATTTTATGTTTAAAACAGCAATTATTAAGAAATCTCAATTAATTAAAATTTAAGGCAAAGGGTGGATAGTTAATATCTATACTAATGGTAGGTCTTTTAGCCAGCTAACTTTAGAAAGTTAACTTTAGGAGTATCTTCTGGGAGCAAATAAATGTTTATAAAAATTTCTATGATAACATAAGACAAAAATCATACAGAGATGACTATATTTCTAAAATTTACAGAATTATTTCGTATGCTAGAATTCATAACATGGCAAAATAAAGTTTAGAAACTACATTTAATTTTTAGTTGTTTAATTTTTGAGTAAAAAAATAGTCTCTTTGGTAATGCCTTGTATCTTGTATGTGTGAATTATAATAAAAGCATCAACTCTGACAGTACAAAATCTCACAAGGAGGAAACTTCCAAAATGCTCAACAACATTCATGAAATATCAGACTCCATAAAGGATCAGGGCTTGAAGGAAAGAATAATGTATTACAAAAAAATAAGATTCCCCCAGTAATCCTGCTCCTCCACTGACCTCAGCTGAAAGTCAGTTTCTGTTTAGCACAAAGATTTTGCTTTGTAGTGGCAGCAAGGACTGTCAAGCAGTTCAGTCCTCAAATTGCTGCTTCTGTACTATAATGTTGAATTTTCACCTAGCTACCACTTTCTCAAACACAACACTGTAAAAGTCATCCAGAGTTTAGATAATGGTGCTGCTTTATTCATATATCCCCAAACTTCCATTCTACAATGGCATGTGTGACCTCAGCCACCAGCCTTGCACAGCCAGTGAGAATACGCTCCCTGCCTGCTCAGCTGTACTTGGCTTTAGAGCAGGAAAAAGCTTGCCAAGGAAAGTGGGAACCCTTGCTAAAAGCAAGGGTCAGGGACAGGTTTGTAAAGAAAAACTCGTTTGTTCCCTCTGTTATAGTGGATGCCTTCCCAGTTAGTAAACAAATCTGCTTCTGGAAATGTATTCTCTGATGCTTGAATGACCTTGCTTTGGCATCCACTGGCTTGACCCACAGAGAGTCCTTTGGAAAGAGACACAAATCAGGTGGCAGGCCCAAACAGTCCAGTGGACTGACAGGGCAGAAGTTATGTCATGTGGCCTCTGCTGACTCATCTAGTTAACCCCTCCCCAGGACCGCTTGGAACCTAAGTCTTGCCAACTCTGACTTGGTCCAAAGTGAATCCTCATTCTGGACTGCGTTGCCTCCTGTGCCTGAGAGGCCCTCCTCTCTCTTCAGTTCCCTTGTATTATGATTACTATGTCATTAATCGTTATGTGTATAAAGAACTGCCATTAACACGGGAAACTTCTTATATTATCTAGTTTAACTGAAAAAAACAAGAGGATGTGAAACTATATACGCATCAAGAACTCAATTTTGCAAGAACAAAACAAAACAAGACCGAAACCAATGTATTAAAGAGACAAAAAGTAACGTACTGAAATGTTATCAGAGTTTCAAAATTTTTTAAATAGTCAAAATGAGAAAAAATTGGCTTTGTTACATTAATATTACATCACATTTTCTTCCACTTGAGCAAATTCAACCATACATGATACTCAGAGCAGTGGTAATGATTCCACCTTTGTCCTCTGGAATTATTTAACTTTTTGCACCTTTACGCAAACAGGTTGTCTTGCCAAATTGGTAGTTCATACTGCAGAATAGAGATTGTGCTTTATTTACCTCTGTATTTCTCATAGATCCCAGCACAGCATTTTACCCAGAGTAAATAATCTTTAACTATTAGTTGCTTGCTTGGTTATTTGGGAAAGGAACGTGCAGCTGGCTTAGCTAGTATTCTTGGTTGGTATGTGGTTAAAAGAGCAAGTGTTTTCAGATCAGATAACTCCAGGTTTTAATCAGCTCTGCTGCTTTTCTGACATCTCCTTGGGGAAAATTTCAAATTCCTCTGATAATCTGTTTCCTCATCTCTGTAAAGAGTATGAAATAGTAACTTCATAGGGTTGTTGGGAAAATTTAATGAAAAATGTATATAGAACAATCAATACCCATATTGGTCAGTTTTTTTTTTTTTCTTTTTTCTTCTCTTCTTTATGTTGCCTCTTATTGTTCTGGCAAGAACTGTCAAGTAAAGAAGATGAATCAACAACCAATGCAATAGTTTTTCTCATAGGAGATAAATTTGACACTTATTTTGTAGATAACCCATGTCATCTTGAGATTACTTAGTTTGGATAATTGAGAAGTAGAAATATTTGGGGAGTATGAGAATAAAATAATTCTGTGACCATGAGAATGCAGATTTCCCTGAGACTAGTTAGAGGTTCATATCAGAGTTTGGAAATTCCCTTAACTATGGACTTAATTTCAAGGTTACAACTACAGGCTGTAGCTCTAGCCTTGGCTACCACTTCTGAATGAGCCCTGTGGTCAAGAAGAGAACTTCATAATGAAAGAACAGCTCCAAGGCATTCTGGGTCCACAAGGGATCTCACGATCTCTATGTCTCCCTCTGGATTCTTGTTATCACAGCCTTTGTTTAAGCCTTCGTAAGATCTCACATAGTATCCAGGCTTGCCTTTCTCCCCTCCATCTTCCATATGTAATGCCTTCCCTAGTAGCAGGATTTAAGAGAAGTCTACATAGAGCCATGGGCTCCAGGAAGACCTGTCCCTTTTCCAGCTGTAATGCCATTCATAGACGTTTGAAAAGGAAGCCCCCAGAGCTCCTTATATTCTCAAAAAGATAATTACCATGAGCCTCAGTACCACTCACCTCTCTTCACAAACTAAGAGATCGGTACTGAGAGGCTGACACTCAAAGAGAACTGATTTACACTTCTTGCCCTAGGAGACCACAGGATTAATCCCATCATGCCCTAGAGCCATGTTCATATGGCAGTGAATGTTGCCTCATCTGGCCCAATCTCCCACCCTTTCAGGACTCTCCTAACCCTTGTGCCCTCTGGAATTCATGGATTAGAACCCACCAAATCCCCTTTATCTGAAGCTCTTCACTGAATGTCCCTTCAATTCTTTCTCTAATTGAAACCTGGACACAGCTTCCTTTCTCACTGTCTCAAGTTGTGGCTTTTTCTTTTTTGCCCATTGAATTAGGAACATAGTCTTGAAGATGGTGTAAATTTCCTTCATGTTCTTCATTGCTGCTTTCAGATCTTGTTTCCTCTGTCCTTTGAAG